TATAAGCAAGTTCTTGAGCTCGTGACCATCCATAAGAAAAAGTGCCTGCATCATCATTACTGGCAAGGTAAGCATCATTGTGATAACCAGTTCGTGCTTTCGAAGTGCCGCTATAAGCTTCAGCAGATGAAAGAGGTGTACTACTATTGAAGATTTGACGAATATAATATGGTGTACGAAGAAGGACTGAGCGAGTATTTGGCAATGCTGACATGTACGTGGTATGAACTTGTTGAAGTGCAGCAGTTTTAATGGGATAATAGAATTGTGTGTTAGTAGTGCTAAAATATGATGAATGCATTTCACCCCATGGCCCAAACATACCCATTTCGACAGCAACGATAATATCTTCATATTGATAATAAATTGGTTTCATATCCATAATATGGGTTTTAACAGTTTCAATGTTTTTTGGCTCTGGAGCAAGAACTGAATCCCAAGAATAAGCTGAACGCATGATAACTTTTAAACCTTGTTGACGACAAGTATTGAGTGCTGAACGAATTTCATTGAGTTTACTCTGTCCAATATGTAAACTATTCTTGTAAACTGATATGTCAATTTTAATCAGAACTAATGATACTTTTTCAGCACTTTCGCGCAGACTATTAACTCCATAAAGATCATTCGAAAATCGATGTGTAATCCAACCTCGTTCAGGATTAGCAAAGAGTGCTTGGCTAGATGTAAATGTTTTCGTCACATTGGCTGGTTCATTCGCAAAAGTGCTATTCCATAAACTGATCATATATCCAAAAACTAAAAGAATCACTTGCCTATTCTTCATTATTTCTCACGTTAGCGCAAACTTTAATGATACTTCACAATCGTATGATCGTTTCAGAATAAGAAATAAGTTTATTTGAGCAAGAATCACATGAAATAGGCTCTGATTGTCACATCTAGGATTCTTTTCGATTTTTTTCTTATTTCGTATCGTATGAAAAAACAACAGAAGAGAATAAAAGCAAGTCATTAAAAGAACTCTTTTTAATGCTCACATCGAACTGACGTATATCTTAGTAATACATTTACCGAATGGATGAAAATAAATGAGTATACATGTTCGAGTCATGAAATGTCTTTTTTTTTTGTTAAACAGTTGTTTCTTTCATAGTTTTAATGGGAATATTCGTTACTAATTGTTTTGATGGTGCATTTACATAAACAAATCGATGAATAACAGGTCGTTTTCGTTTTGCCATTTGCTTTTCTTCTCGAATTCTTCCTCGCTCTTCAGCGACTGGATTAATTCCAAAACAATATTATAATATATCCATGATTACAACAATCATTGCAATAATAATCATAGCAATTATTACAATATAAGAAAATGATTTTGAAACCAATTTAAAAATAAGTATTTTCTTCAATGTTACTTGACAACGACGACCAGAATAATAATTATTACCAAGACATCCATATGTATAATTCAGCAATCGTAGTTAACAAATGCCATTACTCTGACATGTCACATTTTTAAAATCACAATAATTAATCATTGATTCACAATGAGTACTTTGCCAATCATCGTTACTTTTACAATTAAATGTTGTAGGTGATGTTTTGAGGGTGTGGGTGTGGGTGTGAGTGCGGGGTGTGAGTGTGAGTGGGTCTGAATATGGATGTGAATTTTCCCTTCATCCCAGATGTACATCCACACATCCAAGCTGACACCCACACCCCACAACATTTTAGAAAAAAGTATTTCGATATTGTTCATCGATTTTTTCTAATACTAAGTGTAAATTTAATTCATAAAATAGTTTTTACATTGACTATTTGTATTTACTAAAAATAATGACATGATAATGGGAAAAACAAAGTAGCATTATCATTAAAACATTGTTTTATGAAATCATTAAATAAATTAATTAGAAAAATTAATATTGATAAACGAGCGTTGTATGAAAAGTTTTTTATTATTTGATAATATCGATACAGAATAACACATTATTGAACGAAGTAGAAATTTATTTAATTGACGGTGAACATTAAGTATACCAGATTCAATATAAATAAATATATATTGATATTCTCTAGATGTTAATGAAATATTATCCTTAATTGAATATTTGAACAAATTTTCCCACACATTATAACGAAGTACCATCAAATCATTTAGATCATTGGAAGCAGCTACGGATGAATATGTGGTTAATAAATTGAATACCTAAATAGTAAAAATTTTTAAATTTTGTTTTCTTTTTCGTTTGAAAGGTGAATATTTTTAGAGAGGATGTTATTAATATCATTGCTGCAAATATGATTCTTTATGACTACCCACAACTAAAAAGATTACATTTGACAGATAGTTAACCAACATTTTCCCAGACGTATCGCAAAATTTCGGAGAAGGCAGCGCCTCTAGTGTCTCACTTATGAAAATTTATATTCGTCAAAGAACAAAAAGTGAGAGTCGACTAGATTTCTTTGTTTAAGAGGGTTCTGAGAATAGACGTTGGATTACAGTCCGAATGTTTTGGATACGATGATCTCCATTTGAGACATGACAATTTACAAGAAAATTTGGCATTCATATTAATGTTAAATAAAATAGATCAGAGGATTCATTTTTGGGAATATAACCTTCTTTGAATTATTTTATGTATTATTTAAAAGTAGAAACAAACATTTGAATGAATTCAATAGACGTTCTAATAATGAGTCTTAATAGGTCTTGTTTTTTAGGATTGATTCGACAGTCATATGATTAGAAAGAAGAACCTTGTAATGTCAAATAACGAAATCATCTCAGAAAAATTAACCGGATTGACGGAAAACGCCGACAAGGAAAATGCAGAATTGGAAAATGGCGAACAAAAAAAGGAAAATATCGAAAACACTAATGTAGAAAGGGAAAACATAAAAAATGCTGAAAATGAGCATTTTTTAACCCTTTCGCGACGGAATCCATGTATATACAGGCTGAGCTTTTTGACCACGTTAACCTTGTTATTATTGTGAAGGGAATCGACATTAAGACAACGCTTTCGTTCTCTTAGCTCATCGGTATGTTTACTTCATTGCTTGATATTGCTACATGTATACACATGTGCATTTTTTTGCGTTCTTCCAATGTATACACAGATTTTCCATAACGTTCTAGTATATTTGTACACATTCTCACTCTTTTTTTCTTTCTATCCCTCTTCCTATATAAACAAGTTGTCAATGAGAGAAGAAAAGAAACTTCTACCTTCAATTACACTTTCTCACAGCAGCAGATAGATTCCTATTCTTCTTGCATAAGAAATTAATCTTCATATCAATTACATATAGCTTCTGGTAAACATGACGACGTCCACATATAATGATCTGCATGAGATTTATATGAACAGTGAATCCGAAAGTGATTCTTCAATGAAAATCGATGAAGTATATTCAACAGACCTAGATAATAGTCAATCAGACGACGACTCGATACCAGCAGAACCGTCTATTATTCGCAGGTGGATCAAAACTGATTACAAACCACATCTCTTTTCATTTGATGAACGAAAGTCTGGCGTTTCATCAAACACAAATGTTATGACATGTGATACTCCTCTAAACTTTTTCGAATTATTGTTTGATGAAAAATTGATCGATTTGATTATCATAGAAACAAACAAATATCAGGTGCATTCTAACGATGATAAAGTATATAATGCTAATTCGCATCAAGCAAAGTGGATACTGGCAAATAACTTCGAAATCTACATATTATTAGCTACAATTATGCTAATGTCGGTAACCAGAAAGAGCAAAATCTATGATTACTGGCCGACAGATCCTATAATTGCCACACCCATGTTCAGACAGCTGATTTCCAGAGACAGATTTCTATCTCTTTTGCGGTATCTGCATTTTAACGATAACTCGAATCAAGTCGACGGCGACAGGCTGCATAATATCAAACCAGTAATAGATGATTTACGGAAAAAATTCAAACTGTTTGTACATTTATACAAAAATCTCTGTATCGACGAAAGTTTGATGCACTGGAAGGGTCGCCTAGTTTTCAAACAGTATATACCAACTAAACGGTGTCGATTTGGCGTGAAAAAATTCATCATTTGTGACTGTCGAACAAGAACTGTACTGGATTTTATTGTATATACTGGTGCTTCTACAGAGCTATGATATGATCAAAATCTGGGAGTATCTCGTTCTGTAGTAATGACTTTAATGGAACCATACTTGAACAAGGGTCATTTGCTTTTTCTCGACAACTGGGATACTAGCCCTCGTTTATTCGAAAAATTGTATGAACTCAAAACTGGTGCGTGTGGAACTATGCGTAAACATCGCATTGGATCACTGGCTTTCAGTAAACTTGCGCGAGGCGATTTCGACTATAGGAACACCGATAATCTGATGCTTCTGAAGTGGCAAGACTAAGGTGAGGTCATTATATTATCTTCAATTCATGAACCGTGCATGATATGAACACAAGAAGGAGATTGGAAGACTTCGAAAGCAATTGAAAAACCAGAATGTGTCGTACACTACAACGAAAACAGGGGTGCGGTTGATAAAGTTGACATGGAGATCAGTTTTGTACAATGTTCCCGAAAAACTGTTAAGTGGTACAAGAAATTTTTCTTTTACCTACTGGATTTATCAACAATGAATTCTTATACCTTATTCAAACTGAAGCATGGAAAAAATATATCGTTTAGTGATTTCCGTATTCAATTGATTCGACAACTCATTGAAGGATATGCTCAGCCTAAAGGATCTATTGGTCGTCCAACTATTGAAGACAACCCTCTACGTCTCACTGCTCGTCATTTTCCATGTCTAGTTCCAGCAACAGCTGCTAAAAAAACTGCACAGAGATATTGTGTAGTCTGTAGTCATACTAGTCGTCGAGAGAGGAAGCGTATCTGTACGCGTTATCAGTGTGATATTTGTGATGTTGGTCTATGTGTTATAGGATGTTTTGAAGAATATCATACTGTAAAACATTTCTGAATGTTTTTCCATTGAAATAAAATTTATATCAGAACTTTTCAAGAATACGCTTTTTCTCTTTTTTTCTAGAAAAAAAACCCCGTCGCGAAAGGGTTAAGACGGCAGGGGTATTCTTTTTTTACTAAATGTCTCGACAGGTTTTAGATTTTGTTTCTTTTTGATTTCTCCGTATTTGTAAGAGCTAAGACCACGATTTTTTTATTCTTTTTAGCTGAATATATGGTAAACCTGTGGTAAAAGTTTCAGGCCTTAATCATGTACTGTTCGTTAGAAAATAGTACTTTACTCGAAAATTGTCCCGACAGATTTTTTTGGTTCCAAATGTCCCAACAGATTAAACTCAATCTACTAAAGCTGATATTAATAGTAAATTCAGATTTTCTTTTTCTGTTTAAGAGAGTAAAACGAGAGAAATCTTTTGATAAAAAAACTTTTTTCTAGCAGCCGTATGAATGAAATAAAGGATTAAAATTAAGATAGTAAGGGTCATGCTGATGGTGTCACGACGACGTTTAAGCTTTTTTTATAGGTATATATATGTGTTGATAAAGTTCTACATATGCTCCTTCGATTCTCCTTTTCACAGGCTTTCGATTGATATATAATAACAATATACTAGTTGCTATTACAGGATTTGTTTTGTGAAAATACTTCTAAAATTATTTATCTTATTATGTTAAGAAATCTGGAGAAATTTGCATTTTTAATGTAAAATTGATTTTTTTCTGAAACCAAGAGCTTGACAGCTGGGAAAATATCTGATTTACATACAATCAATGAAGCTCTATC